CTCTCTCTCTCTCTCTCTCTCTCTCTCTCTCTCTCTCTCTCACACACACACACACACACACACACACACACACAAAATACATTAAATAAACAAAAACGCACGCACACCTCCATGTGCGCGCGCACACACACACACACGAAACAGTCTGGCACGGTCATTCTCTTTTGTCTTCTGTGGAATTGTGCACAGCGAAAATGACAACACACACACACACACACGCGCGCGCGCGCGTGTGAAAACACACCTGCCCAATGATAGAAGCGAGGGGGAAGAACTGTCTTCCATAGCGGTCGTCTGCGTCAGTGGGATTGTCCGCTGACGCGTCCGCTTCCGCCGCCGCTAGTGCTCGCTCTTCCACCGACGAAGCCGCTGCAGTGGCCTCGCATGTTGTCCGCCGACCCCCTCGCCTGCGCCCCCTCCTTCTCCCTCTGCTCTCCCCCTCTCTGGCGCTGCCGCTCCGCGTCGCCTGGTCGAAGAACACTTGGCAATGCCGTTTAAGGCACAGGCTATCAAGTTGCGTGCTGAGGCCGCCATCGCGCACCCCGACGCCCGCTCCCACTCCACGGCAGCGCAGAGGTCGTTCCACCACTCCTCCTCCTCCAGCTGCGCGTCGCTTGGCCAACGCTGCCGCCGCCGCGCACGAGGACGAGCAACACGCGGACGACCGCGCAACGCTGCCGTTCCGCGCACCGACTCCGCCGCTTAGCACCGCATAGTTGCGCAGCGTTTCCCCCGACCAACCCGCCACCGCTGCCGCCATCTCCCGCGCCCCCTCTCCCTCCTGTTCACGATCACGATGCCCACGATGATGACGATGACGGGGTTGCCGCTGATGATGAGGAGTCGGATATCATCTACTCACTGAAAGCACGGGCAGTCGAATAGAAAACGAACAGGCAATTTTCACCGGCAAAATCTATGTTCCCAGTTCGCACACTGGAGGAGGATTCCGCAATTGTCATGTCACCATCTTTTTTTTTCCTGTCTTCAATCACATTCCGCCTCGCCGCACTACTCTCCACACGCACAAAAGACAAAAACCATGGCGATGTATAGTTCCATCTTCTGGCGGAAGATTCGTTCTCATTTTGCACATCTGGAGAGTAATGGTGCGAGGCCCATTGTTTGGCGGGTGAGTGTTCGACGTCCCGAGGCGGACAAAGAAAAAGAAGCGGGGTGTCGAAGTTCCCGAGGCAGAGAAAAAAAGCGCGGGGGTCGACGTTCCCGAGGCGGAAAAAAAAGGCGTCTCCATTTTCAGAGCAAGAGCGCGCGCGTGCCACGACAGACGAAATTGGTGGTAAAAAAAAAAATAAACAATTGGTGGTAATCTTTTTTGTTGTTGGAAAACAAAGGCGCCTCCTTTTTCAGAGCAAGAGCGCGTGCCACGACAGACGAAATTGGTGGTAATTTATTTTGTTGTTTTGTTGTTCGGTTGTTCTTGTCCTACCGGCGGCACGAAAGGGAGTTTTATCCAGCGGCCTAGCTCAGTTGGTAAGGCATGCAAGTGGCATTCAGGAGCTCTTGGGTTTAATCCCCATTGGCCTCATGTACCTTCCTGGGCATGCTTGGCGCCCGCCACCTAGAGATAGCCCGTTGGTCATCCCAATTGGCATTAAGAAGCAGTCTCTGCTGATGTTCATAGGGGGAGGGGTAATCGGGGAGGCACAGCGACTGGCCACTCAGATGATGCTCGGTCCCTCTGCTACCGGCTGTCCCCTGGCCGGTGTCCCCCATTGGGGGTTCCCTGAAGGCAATCAAGGCCACCCTGGGCTGAAAAGCCCTTTAAAAAAAAAAAAAAAAAAGGAGTTTTCTTTTTTTTTTGGGGGGGGGAAGGAAAAGGGAGTTGGTTTGGCGCCTACCGGCGGCACGATCTGTTTATCAACTGGCACCTACACATTTGCACCCCATTCAACCTCTGGCTGTATTTGTCCAGTAGCCAGAGCTCTAGGACGGGTACCTTGGCCATTAGACACGGCCTATGGGAGCTTGGGGAGAATGGTCAGATATAGCTTTGGGGGGCATTGATGATCTATCCACGGGGCCAGTAGAGCGAATGCTTCCAAAATACCCCTCTGACTGGGTTTTTCAACCATTCTTCAACCAGGTTTGAGTGGGGTTTGTGATACGCAACCTTACGCCCCCTCGCGGTTTCCCGTACTGGGTCGCCGATCAAAGTTCTAGGAGGGGTGTGGCCGAGGATCTTTGGCCGTAGGGGTTGAGTCTCCCGGACGGAACGGGAGGCTCTCGTTTCGTGCCAGAGGTTAACCCGGAGTCGAACTGTCATCGTGACGTCCCATGGGGGTCGGATCGCTCCGAAACGATAAAATCAGAAGGGTTTTCGCGAAAACGAACTGCCGCCGTGCATCAGGACGGGAAAAGACCTCAAGGGGAGAGGGCCATGGCGGCGTGAGACAAAACTTCGGTCGTCAGGGTTTTGGGGGATAGGTGGTGGGTTCGAAGCCTTCAGGCTTCGTCGTCGGCCTCACGAAGTGACCGAACCATCGGGTCTTTGCTGTAGAGGTGGTTGGTTCGAGGCCTTCAAGCGTTAGCGTCGGACTCACAGAGTCCGCGCGGAAGGTTCTGGGAGGGTAAAGCGGCGGGAGGACTCGCCGGCATCCGAATTCAAAATTGCGCGGGCAGCGCCCCAGCACTACGGGAAAGCTCGGGGAAACGTGTCGCTTCCTCGTAACTCAGGACCAGTCGTCGCCAAGAACATGAGTCCCCCTGGCGACGCCAGCGACAATTAAACTGCGTCCGCCACGGGGCGTGAGCGGCCGACCAGGGCAACACAGTCAAACCCGTATAAGGCAATATTAGAGTCGGGGAATCAAAACGCTCAATCAAGACAAACCCGTTCCCCCTTATATCACAAGCCCGAGGCGGGTCTCGCCAGCACACTTGCTCCGTTCGCCTCAGCGTGCGCCGTACGTCCGCATCGCAGTGGACGCTGTCGTCATCTGTGATGGGGAAGGTCGGTAGCGAGATGAGACGATCGGAGGTAGGCGATGAACACGGGTAAGATCCCGCGCTCCCGGTCATCCGAACCAACATCGACTCCATACAACAGTCGATGCAATTTTCTCTCTCGGGGTTAGCGCGTCGGAGGAAGATGACGAAATCGAAGCTCTCTTCCCCTTGCGGGGGCGTCGACCGTGCGCGCGGACGCAGGTGGTTGACGTCACCGGTACGAGGACGAGAAACTCAAAAAGGAAGGCGGGAGAGAAAGGGAGAGAGCTTACACCGGGAACGCGCCCGCGCGCGCGAAGGACCGCGGAAGGAAGGGGCACAATGGGATTAACACACTCGTACTCCTAGGCAGACGGTCCCCCAGTCCAGTTTCCCCGTCCCCACCCGGACAAATACATACACACATGCATGCAAACAATCAACAACCCTTGACAGGACATCTAATCATCCATAGACCTTCGACATCACTCATGCGCACAACCAGCTCCCACCACTCGGGGCTTTACACACACGACATGCATACACAATGCAGCAATGAAGATAAAAGCGAGTCCTTCTGGTACACAAAATATTCAATTAACTGTCGCCCCCAGGCGGAGACTTCGAACCTCCCAAGACCACCGACCACCATAGCCACAAGGTCCTGCCGCGGCCGGCGTCAAATCCCCACCACTGCTCGGTCCCTCCGACTGCGTCGCCCCGAGACTACCGAGGGTCCACCCCACGTCATCACTCCGCCCGTCCTTGGGCTCGTCGAGCCTGTTCGGCGCCGCGGACTTTCGCGCATAGCTCGCGCAGCATTGCAACCGTGATCAAAGAGAAGGAGAGGAGAGGGTTGCGCAAATTTATAGCGTGGGAGGCGGCGGGTTGTCAGCGCGAGGTGCGGGCAGCGCAAGGTGTAGATGAGCAGAACAAGAGAAAGGTGGGGAGTTAGGGGGTCCGACCCGCGGGGTTACATGGTCCTACGTGATTGGGGTGTTCGTCCAAGTGGTGCGCGGTTTCCCGCTCTCCACATTGATCCGAGCATCCCAACTACGTGGCCAATCACTTCGTGGAGAAGATGGGGCAAGGATCGAGTTGGGAGGAGGGGAAGACGAAGAGTCCGGCATGGGGGAAATGCGCGCAGCAAGAAGGGAAGATGGTGTGGGAATGCAAAGCAATAAACGGGGGTGCGAGACGCACGAAGAAGTCGGGGCTTAGGAGCGCGCGCGCAAAAATTCAAAAAGTCCCCACCGAAACCGTTTCTTGGTTTTCATACCGCGGCCGCTATTCGCCCGCGCGGGAGTTATTAACCAAACAAAATGAAAAAACCGTTTCGAAAAGAAAACAAAAGCAAAAAGAAAGAAAAACCCCTGTTTGTCCGCATCCATGCCTCGGGGCTTCCGCGGGATTTTTCCTCAGGGATACGGCAAGCCGCGCGGTACGGATCTGAGCTTATCACAGGTTCCTGCTTAGCACCGGTGCCTGCAACCCGTGTCCGGTAAGGTTACCCCATGAAGAGGGGAGGGGTGATTTCTCGGGTGGTAGACACTGAGGTAGGACTGAGGGAGTAGGGGTGCGTCAAGGAGAAGTGACAAAAGGAGGGCGGGTATGGTCTTTTTTGTTGTCAGATTTCATTTTGATTGAACTCGGGTCTGTAGTTCAGCAGTTCATAGGTGTACCAATTGAGCTAGGCCTATCGGTGTGGGTAGGGTCCAGAGATGGCTAAGGACCCTAGAAAAGAAAAGGAAAAGAAAGAAAAAGAGGCAACTACCCGGGAGTCACAAAAACGAGTTATAATTGCACTATGGGGCAAGATACAATTTGCAATTGCACTTCGGGCACCCTACCTGGCAGAAATATGGGTTGTATACATTGCTCGAAGTGCAATTGCAAAATGTATCTTGGCCCATATTGCAATTATAACTCGTTTCTGTGACTCCCGCGTAGTTTCCCCACAGAAAAACCCTCATTTTTTTTTTTGGGAAAAAGAGGAGAACCCTCTATTCAAAGCATAGAAACAAGCTCCGAGGCCGGGAATCCTCAACAAACAACATGGTTGTAAACTAGCACTGAAAAGAATCCAACTTCAGTTCATCATGTCTATGTCAAGCCTTGTATAGCAACAAAAACCTAGTGAGTCAAGACTTCTGCCGAACTCTCTGCTCTTCTTTTATCATTGTGCAACATCATTCAGTGCAACCCTAATTGTCGGGTTATTGGGCCACCGCCCCCTGCGACACTCCTACCACCAACGCCAAAATAGCTATACACTATTCCAAGAAAAAAACTTGTCTGCCTCTTGTGGCTACTATGAACCGAGTTCCCTGGTAAAAAGCTTCATCCTAACAGACAACTACCCCTAGACAACTAATTTATTCTATAGCTTAAAAGACAGATAAGAAACTACTCTACAAATCAATCCAAACAATGTCAGACATGGAAACAAAAACCCTTATAAAACATAGACTGAACCACCAAATTCGGGCAGACTGAAACCGCAACGGCAATCAAGGACAGGGCATAAGCTTTAAGCACTTCATGAGCACATGGTGCACACACAAGGAAAAAGTGGCAACAGTGGATGAGGAAGGGAAGTTGAAAATGTGTTATTGGCTAACATAATTAAGATTAAGATTGTACATGGTTTGGATTGATTTGTAGAGTAGCTTCTTATTTATCTTTTAAGTTGTAAAAAAACCCTCCTTGGAGGTAGTGTGACCACATTTTCTCCCCAAAAAAATAAAAGCTCATTGGATTTCTTTTTCTCTTGCCAAAAGCAGCACGGGGGTGACACAGTGAGACTTTTACCTGGGGTCCTCGACCAAGAACTGAGCCAAACCAGCCATTGTTTTGGGACCCCCTCCCATAGTGCCTTATTTAGGAAGAAAACTTCTTATTTGCTCGTACTTTGTGCTTGAGCTCCAAGTGGAGAGAGACGAAAGCACCGGGTGCAAACTTGTGCGCATCAAATACAACTTTGGTACATACCAGAGTTAAGGTTTTTGCAAAATTATAATGCACGTGCACAAGAATTTTGAAGG